GGGCTGTTTGGTGCGTGCTGGAATAACCCAATAGGGAGGAGGGGGGGCTGTTTGGTGCGAGGTGGAATGACCCAATAGAGGGGAAAGGGGGGGCTGCTCAGTGTGACCTGGAATGACCCAATAGAGGGGAAAGGGGGGGCTCCTCGGTGTGACCTGGAATGACACAAGAGAGGGGGATAGGGGGGGCTATTTGGTATGACCTGGGATGAACCAACAGAGGGGAAAGGGGGGGCTGTTTGGTATGACCTGGGATGACCCAACCGAGGGGAAAGGGGGCGCCGCTGCTCGGGGTGCCCAAAAGAGGGGGCGCCCCACAGACACCCCCCAACTCACCCCTCCCTCCGCCCCCCCAGACACCCCCCCGACTCACCCCTCTCCGCCCTCCCCAGGTGCTCAACGACACCTGGGTCTCCTTCCCCTCCTGGTCCGAGGACTCGACCTTCGTCAGCTCCAAGAAGACGGCCTACGAGGAGCAGCTGCACCGCTGCGAGGACGAGCGCTTCGAGGTGGGGCAAGGCTCCGGTCCTCATGGGGGTCGGGGGCGGGAGGGGGGCTCCCAGGGGGTTTGGGGACCCTTGGCCTGCAGCCCCCATGCAGACGGGGGGCAGAGCCAGGCTGATTTCCGCCTGGGCGTGGAGGGTGTCAAGCTGAAACTCCAAGTTTCTGGTCCTCATGGGGGTCGGGGGTGGGAGGGGGGCTTCTGGGGGGCAGGGGGCCCCCAAGGGCTTGGGGACCCCTGTGCTCGACCCCCATGCATGTGGGGGGCAGAGCCAGGCTGATCTCCGCCTGTGCATGGAGGGTGTCGCGCCGGAGCCAAGTTTCTGGTCCTCATGGGGGTCGGGGGTTAGCCTCTCAAGTTTCCGGCCCTCATGCTCCTCGCCACCTTGCGGAGGGAAGGAAAGGGCTAACCTAACCCGCTATATTGCAACATATACTTTATTATATTTCTATATTCCTATATATCCCAATGATATAATGCTCCCCCCCCGAGCCCCGGACTGCAAGCCTCTCAAGTTTCTAGTCCTCATGCTCCTCGCTGCCTTGCGGAGGAGAGGAAAGGGCTGACCTAACCCGCTATACTTCAACATATATATTATATTGCAACATACATTATACTTCTATTTTTCTATATATCCCAATGATATAATGCTCACCCCCCAAATCCTGGACTGCAGCCCTCCCAAGTTTCTGGTCCTCATGTTCCTGGCCACCTTGCAGCTCAGAGCAAAGGGCTCACCTAACCCGCTATATCACAACATACACTATATGATCCTTCTATATTCCTATACATCCCAATGATACAATGCTCCCCCCCCACCCGAGCCCCGGACTGCAAGCCTCTCAAGTTTCTAGTCCTCATGCTCCTCGCCGCCTTGCGGAGGGAAGGAAAGGGCTGACCTAACCCGCTATATTTCAACATATCCTATATGATCCTTCTATATTCCTCTATATCCCAATGATACAACGCTCCCCACCCCCCCCCAAGCCCCAGACTGTAAACCTCTCAAGTTTCTGGTCCTCATACTTCTGTGCAGCTTGGAGGAAAGGGCTCACCTACCCCACTATATTACAACATACATGATCCTTCTATATTCCTCTATATCCCAATGATACAACGCTCCCCCCCCCCCCCGAGCCCCAGACTGTAAACCTCCCAAGTTTCTAGTCCTCATGCGCCTGGCCACCTTGCAGCTCGGAGGAAAGGGCTAACCTAATCCTCTATATTACCACATATATTATATATTATATTGCCACATATTATACTTATATATTTCATTGCAACATATACTTCTATATTCCTATATATCCCAACAATATAACGCTCCCCCCCCCAAGCCCTGGACTGTAAACCTCTCAAGTTTCTAGTCCTCATGCTCCTGGCCACCTTGCAGCTCGGAGGAAAGGGCTAACATACCCCACTATATTACCACATATATGATCCTTCTATATTCCTCTATATCCCAATGATACAACACTCCCCCCCCCCCCCAACCCCTGGACTGCGAACCTCCCAAGTTTCTAGTCCTCATGCTCCTGGCCGCCTTGCAGCTTGGAGGAAAGGGCTAACCTAATCCTCTATATCACAACATATCCTATATGATCCTTCTATATTCCTCTGTATCCCAATGATACAACGCTCCCCCCGCCAAGCCATGGACTGTGAACTTCTCAAGTTTCTAGTCCTCCTGGCCACCTTGCAGCTCAGAGGAAAGGGCTAACCTACCCCACTATATTACAACATATATTATCCTTCTATATTCCTCTATATCCCAGTAATATAACACTCCCCCCCCCCCCTAGCCCCTGGGGAAACCCCCCAGGTTTCTGGTCCTCATGCTCCCGCTCTCGCCCCCCTTTCCCGGCAGCTGGACGTGGTGCTGGAGACCAACCTGGCCACCATCCGGGTGCTGGAGAGCGTGCAGAAGAAGCTGAGCCGCATGGGCCCCGAGGAGCAGGAGCGCTTCCGGCTGGACGACTGCCTGGGGGGCACCTCCGAGGTCATCCAGCGGCGGGCCGTGCACCGCATCTACGGCGACAAGGCGCCCGAGGTGCTGGAGAGCCTCAAGCGCAGCCCGCTCTCGGCCCTGCCGGTGGTGCTGAAGAGGTGGGGAGAGGGGAGGGGGGGGAGGGGGGAGGGAGGGATGCCCCCCTGGAGGGGACCCGGAG